AGAGAGAGAGAGAGAGAGAGAGAGAGAGAGAGAGAGAGAGAGAGAGAGAGAATTTTTAGTCGGTCAAGAAAACAGGACAGCTGCAATATTTGCAGTCGCAAGAGTAGCAGATTACAACTTTACACCATCACTGGAAAGAAGTAGGGCAAGACACAACAGACCACCTACCACCTACCCAAAGAGGCTGATAATAAATCATTAAATATTAGGGCAAAGTGGAGCATTCAAAAACTTCCAAAACAGAAAGTCCAAAGAAATATATTTAAAACGTCACATCCCCAACCAACCACCCAAACAGGCAGATTATAATCTGACAACAAGAGGGCAAAAGGTAGGTTATAACAAAAACTCCACAAAAAGAAAGTTAAAAAAAAAAAAGAAACAAATGACACAGAGAGCGTTAACCCTCCCAGCAAGTACGGCCTGAGACATGCCCGAGATTTAATCCTTCAAACTCTGACAAGTCATGGTGTCTTTCTTGACATGGTGTGAGCCAGTGGTTTCTTTTTGTTTGTTTGTTTAATTAAGTTTAAATGTAGTACCTGTAGAGGTGTGTTTTTTACACCCCCATCAACACTATTTATTTAGGAGGCAAACTTCCAACCTTTCTTTGTCAGGGCCAGTCTGAAAGGGACACAACATCCCAGGAGAAAGACCAAGATACTCATTCGGGAATTGAATCAGAGTCTCCTGAGTATGACAAAAAAGTGCCTAAACACTACATCGCGGATGCCAGCATAAAAATAATTTCAACTCAACAAGACGTTACAAGAGCACTTCAGGAAACTTTCTTCAAAAAGTAGCATGCTATTACCAAGCTGCTTAACAAAAATTGTTAAAATTAATTGGCCTGACACCAAATGAAAGGAACATGGGAGCAAACAGAAGTATTATAACTCAAAGACAGAAAGTGGAAGTGGACTGGTCACACATTGAGAAAACTGAAAACAAAAATATTTCTAACCAGGTATCAACAAAGAAAAAAAACAAAGAAAAGAGTACTTGGGGGAGGGACTTAAGATTCAGCCAACTGCACAGTGATGGAGACTATTATAGCTCAAAATAAAAGTTCATAGAGAGTTCTTGATGTTGGCCTTACATTCTCCAGCTTAGAGGGTGAGAAGGGATGATGATGATGACAGGAGTCTCGTGGAAAATGAGCACAAGCAAGGACTAAAAACTCATGGATCATTATATTGCCCAATTCATAATCGCATCGCAAAACAGTCATTTTGATATTGTACCTAAAATTTCATGTCGTCAGGCATCCAGATTTATCCAGAAAATCAACATCTCTGAAGACAGTGCCAAGAAAAAAGTAAAGCCCCAAGTCAGCTCCAGAGTACAATAACAGAAAATTTACAAAACCAGATACAGGATTGGAAAGGTGGATTCTGCTGGAATTGCCTCTAATCCAATTCTATGGGCATTCAAACAAATATCCATTAAAACAAAACCATAATACAACCAAAACATTCACAACTTTAACTTTGATTCTGTAGTGTCAGCAATTTTTATTTTTGCACATAATTTTTCTTTTGAACCTTTAAAAGGCTTAAAATTTTGCTATGCCCACCTTTCATTCATGAATTTTCAAACAAGGCATTAAATCATTAAATTATATAATACCTTGGTAACTACGGGAGAGGATGGGTGATCCCCACCACCCAACAGAAATTTTTATACCCAAATGCCCACAAGTGGTTGGCAAGCAAACTGCTTTGGATGGCTTTTTAAAGTCAACTAAAGCTCTAAAAATGAAATACAAAAAGTGCCTTCTGTTCTCACAGTGTACAAAGTCCAGTGGCGGGACGCCATTGGTGCAATTGGTGCAAGCGCTCCACCTAACCTTGACCTTCACCCCCCCCTTCTAATTGTTGTTAAACTAGTCAGTGCTCTAGGCTAGATCTACATCCTTGCGATCCGCCACCCGCTGGCTACGCCAGTGACAAAGTCAAATGTAGGGGGCTCTCGTGGCCTAGAGGTTAAGGCGTTGGCCTCTCATTCACAAGTCCCGGGTTCGAATCCGGGTAGCCACCGAAAAATTTTCTTCTCTAAAATTGTCTCCTTTCACTTTCTTTCTCCTGCTCTCTAGCAGCAATGTTCTGTCGCCTGCTTTCGTCTCCTCTTTCTACCCCTACCCCCTCATCTCCTTAGCCCCCTCCTCTGGACTCCTGACTCTTTCTGCAGCCTTTCAACTGCTACTCCTTGGCTCCTTCTTACTGCTGTCTTTCAGCCACACCCCTGATCTTCTGGTAGGAAAAATTTATACAGCTTTCTCGGACAAAGATGAAAAACCTCGGAGGGCCCGTGTGCAAGTTGCTCACGTTAAAGATTCCTTGGTTGTCTAAAATCGATAAAAGTAGGCTTCAGCCGCCACCCGGACAAAATTCAAAATTTCCTACCAACTGGAAAAGTTTGATGTGTGTCGCACGCTCATATGACCTTATAAAATGCAGTTGCGAGCGCCGTAAAACACTACCAAAAAAAACAAACAAACCCACTCCTACATTCACAACACACTTGAATGATTAAAGTTAGGACTTTTTTAATATTAGCGAAAAAATTATTATAAAAATAGCTCGTTCATCAATGTCTGACAATTACCAAACATCCACCGGGGAGAATATAATATTTCTTCAGCAAAAAAGAAGATTTAGAAGAATGAAATAGCATGTTAAGATTTAAAGGTGAAGGAATAGTGGGGGGGGGGCAAAAACTTAAAAAAGGAGAAAGGACAGGGTTGAAAAAAAAATACACATGTCATGTCATGTAAAAAACATTAGAGTACAGCCGACACCCACATCAATTCATAGGGAGAAGAATCCTGCGAGCTTTATCATAGCAGTGGTCCACTTCATGATTCAAAACCATGTTTCCTGAAGTTCCGTCTTTGTCACACAAAGAGTCGAATGCCTTCACTACCTAATCCGAAAAGGTACATGATATTTGCATCATAAGAGCCTCTAGCATCTGTGGTGTAGTGTTCTGTCTTACTCAGGAGACTGGTTCAATGCCCGAGTAGGAGGAAGAATCATCTGAATAAGTATCTCGGTCTTTCTTCTGGGATGTTTTGTGTAGTACACCAAAAAGCAAGCACTATCACTATCTGTACACTCGTCTAGACTAAATGATCAAAGTCAAAGTCTGGGATCATGTAGATCTAGGTCTAGCAGTGCCTCTTAGCTTAGGCTTAGTTTAGTAGGGGGGATGATTATCTCTAGAACTACTCAACTCTATGTATGCCTACTGGGCCTGCTACACATCCTTGTCCAAGAAATCTATCCTGTCATGACCATGTAATGATGCAGGCTACTGAAGTGAATGTACCATGAAAACTTACTGAACTGTCTGGACTCCCATGATCATGATAGACGTCTTAGATCAGGACTGGGGCCTCTATTTCTATTCGAAGCTAGATCTAGATCTAGTCTCTTTAGTCTAGGCCTAGATCTAGATATCTAGATCTAGAATCTATAAAAGTAAACAGACAGCTGAGACGGAGAGAAATCATGTGTTAAAAATCCGTTAAAAAAAGGACAGGAGGAGGCAAACCTGCTGCATTACAACTCCCAACTCACTGCTCTATCAATGGCTAGATCTAGCCTAGATCTAGATCTATATTAATATATGGTGCTAAACTAGGAGATACCTTAATCCAGATCAGTTGATCATCTTGTAGATCTAGATCTAAACAATCGGTAGATATCTAGAAGAAACGAAGATTAACGGCAGTCGTACGGTCTTGTCCAGATCAAGACAAGAATGACAAGATTATGATGTCTACAGTAGATTCAAGAGATGTGTACAATTTACACCGCACTAATTGTTTTTAATTAAATAAAAACGTGCAAGACTTGTCTTACCTGATCGTGAGTAATGAATAGTCCTCAAGTCCAAATGTCACACAGAAATTAGAAATCAAACCACCTCAAACTCAACTGCAATTGTACGAATACAGTAGTAGATCCTATCTCTACAGAAACGCCCGTAACTCTCAACTTGTCATGAAAATACGGAAGAAAAGAGACGAGAGGAAGTTGATCTATTTTTAGGAGGACTGTTCCGCACTGAATGTCGGCACTTCTTCGTTTTTGTGCTGTTTCAAAATCTGCTAAATTTAGGAATACAATAGTGATATAGCCCACTAGATCTATAGCTATGTTAAAAAATACAATTCATTCGTACAATGTATCATAAAAATATGTATGTAAGTGGTGAGTTGTTTAGTTGACCTATAGCCTATAGCCACTACTGCCCAGACAGTTTGAAGGCTTAACATTCAAAATGCACCTTCTTTGGAAACCCTCTCTGATAGGCCTACAGACCCGATAGGTGAACTCTTTTGTGATTTCGTAAAGTTTCAGCGCCCAGACCCGGTAGATCTAGTGTGTGTGTGTGTGTGTGTGTGTGTGTGTGTGTGTGTGTGTGTGTGTGTGAGAGAGAGAGAGAGAGAGAGAGAGAGAGAGAGAGAGAGAGAGAGAGAAAGAGAGAGAGAGAGAGAGAAATTGTAGCAAAATGTATGACATGCCCCAGTTGCCAGTTGGCAGGAGGGAACGAGAGAAAGATGTGGGAAATAGATAGGGAGAAAGAAAGACAGAGACAAACAAAGAAAAAGAAAAGGCGAGCGATACACAGAGGAGAGTGTGAGAGAGAGAGAGAGAGAGAGAGAGAGAGAGAGAGAGAGAGAGAGAGAGAGAGAGAGAAATAGAGAGGCTCGATTGAAAATATGACATTGTAACTTGATCTTTTCTTCAAATCAAAATGTGATTCCTCCTACGCCAAAACAGAGGAAAAACAATCGTTCATCGAAAGACATCCGCAACCTTCATTTAGATCTAGATGTCTAGATCTAGGTTAGTCTCGAAACTAGATCAATGATTTATGTCTGTCTGTCTGTTTAGGCCTACATGTCGTACTTTGTTACTTTGTTTCCGGTTACTGGGTCTGTATTACTCTGTATACACTCCCACTTGGGAAACTCTGGTGGCGGCAAGAATTCGGTACATAGCCTACAATAGTCCTTTTCAACAAACTCAGTATTAGCCAGTTGTAGAAATGGCGATCACACTGTAACCTAGGAATAATGTAAATAATGATTCATGTCATCATCATCATTGCCTTTCTCACCCTGCACCAGGGTATAGGCCACGGACAAACACCCCCCACTTTTCTCTATCCTGGGCTAGCCTCTTGGTGTTATTCCATGTCTTCCCACTTTTCTGTATATCGATTTCTGTGATTCTTCTCCAAGTTCCACGAGGTCTTCCCCTTGATCTCTTGCCCTGTGGGTTCCAATCCAAAACTGTCTTTGTTATGCAGCTGCCTGACTTCCTGAGAGTATGTCCAATCCATCGCCACCGCCTTCTTCCTACCTCATCTCTGACTGGGATCTGTCTTGTTTTCCTTAACACTTCCACATTGGTGACCCTGTCTGTCCATCTGATCCTCAGTAACTTTCTTAGACACCTGTTCAAGAAAACCTGGATCCTCTTTATACAAGTCTGCGATGCGTTCCATGCCTCACATCACATCCATACATCAGGACCGACTTCACGTTTGAATTGAAAATCCTCAGCTTTGTTCGAAGTGAGATCTCTCTGGTCTTCCAAATCCTATCCAAAGATATGAAAGCAGCCTGTGCTTTTCCAATGCGGGACTTTATTTCAGCACATGTTCCTCCCTCTCTGTCAATTATGCTCCCAAGATAACAGAAGGATTCAACGTTTTCTAGGGCCTTTCCTTTTATTGTGACCTGCTCCTTTCGTTGTGCATCTGTCCTTAGTACCTTTGACTTTCCGGGGTGGATCCTCAATCCAACAGACTCCGATAAGCTGTTTAATACTGAAGTCTTTGCTTGTATCTGTTCCTGGGTGTGCGACAGAAGCGCCAAGTCGTCTGCGAAATCCAGATCGTCCAACTGTGTCCATGGTGTCCACTGTATACCATTTCTGTGTCCTCTGGTGGTTTCCTTCATCAGCCAGTCGATTGCCAATATGAAGAAGAACGGTGATAGTAAGCATCCCTGTCTCACTCCAGTCTTGATGTCAAAGCTGTCCGTGAGCTGGCCATCATGTACAACCCTGCAACTTGTCCCTTCGTACATGCTTTTGATGAGGTTCACCAACTTCTGTGGGATTCCGTGGTGTCTCATTATCTTCCATAGTGTCGCTCGGTCTATACTGTCAAAGGCCTTCTCGTAGTCAAGAAAGTTGACAATCAGCTGGGAGTTCCACTCCAGGGACTGTTCCACAATAATCCTCAGCGTGGCAATCTGGTCGGTGGTTGAGCGATTTTTCCGGAAACCGGCCTGTTCATCCCGTAGTCTTGGATCCGTTCCTGTCTTGATTCTTTCCGGAACGATTCTGTTGAAGACCTTACCTGGTATTGAGAGGAGAGTGATCCCTCTATAGTTGCTGCAGTTGCTGAGATCCCCCCTTTTTTGGAAGCTTCACGAGGTGTCCTTCTTTCCAATCCTTTGGGAACTTGCTCTCATTCCAGATCCTGGTAAACAGTGGGAGTAGGATGTCTGCCGTCACATTGGCATCTGCTTTTAGGGCTTCAGGTGGAATCTGGTCAGGACCGGCCGCTTTACCTTTGTTCAGCTTCTTAATGGCATCCAAAATCTCTTGTTTTGATGGAGCATCACAGCAGATAGGTAACTCATTTCTTGCTGGCAGTATGTTTGGTGGATTACTCGGTTGTGGTCTGTTCAGGAGACTGTTGAAATGCTCTACCCATCGCTTAGACTGAGCTTCCTTTCCAAAAATGTTTTTCCCGTCTTGGTCCTTTACAGGTACTTCAGGTTTCCCATATTTTCCAGCAAGTGTCCTTGTGGTCTGGTAAAGGATTCGCATGTGTCCTCCTACCGCTGCTTCCTCTGCCTTCTCTGCTAGCCTGTTTATGTATTCCTCCTTGTCTTTTCTTATTGATTTCTTGACATCTTTAGCTGTTGTCCTGTTCTGCTCCAATACATCCGGTTTTGCTCCTCTTGTTCTATTTGCATTCGCTTCTGCCTTCAGTTGTTTTCTTATCCTAATTAGATCCAATGAGTGTTGGCTAATCCATTCCTTGTGTTCCCATTTCTTCCCACCGAGTACTTCTTGACATGTTGATGTAAAGACTTCTTTGACCTTGGTCCAGTGTGTATCCACCTCCGTGTCCTCCCCGTCAAGATCAGCCAGAGGTTGAAATCTGTTCCTCAGCTGCAGTTGAAACTCTTCTTTCTTGTGTCCGTCCAAGAGACTTACTTGGAACTTGGTTCTTTTGATTCCTGTGCTGGTTCCGTGCTTTTTTAGTCATAGCTTCAGTTTTGCCAACAGCAGATGATGGTCCGATCCAACATCTGCCCCTCTCTGTACTTTGACATCTTCCATTGAACGCCTGAACTTACGAGAGATACAAAAATGATCTATCTGGTTCTCCGTCACCCCATCTGGCGAAACCCATGTGGCCTTGTGGATCCTCTTGTGGGGAAAAACAGAGCCTCCAATAACAAAACTGTTGAAAGCACATATATTTGCGAATCGCTCCCCGTTCTCATTCATTTGTCCCAAGCCATGTTGTCCCATAATTCTTTCATACCCAACGTTGTCTTGACCAATCTTGGCATTGGCATCTCCCATTATGATGTTGACATCCTTCCTTGGTAGTTTGTCGATGACCCCCTGGAGCTGGCTGTAAAAGGCATCCTTGTTCTCATCTGAAGCATCATTTGTTGGGGCGTAGATCTGTACTCTATTCATGTTGATGTTCTTGCTCCTTGTAGTGAATGAAGCCATGATGATCCTTTCCCCGTGTGGTTCCCATCCTCTAAGTGACTTCTGTGCATACTTACTCAAAATGATTCCCACTCCCTCCGCATGGTACTTATCTTCCCTCCCTGAATACAATACTTGTTCCCCCGAGCTGAGCTGCTTCTGTCCAGACTGTATCCAGTGTGTTTCGCTGACTCCTAGTATGTGCAGCCTGTATCTCTTCATCTCTTGTACTACTTGAGAACTCTTTCCTGCTTCATACAAGGTGCGAACATTCCACGAATCAATCCGGAGAGACTTGTTCGACAGAGAATGTTTCGGGTCAGAAGAGTCCTTTCGGCTTTGTCCGCTGTCCTTCATTGTTCCTGCTGATACAGAAGATCCTCCGTCTCCCAAGATCGAAAAATAAAAAGCTGTGTTTGTCCGTGTTTCTGTAACTTACTGTTTTTTACTGGGTTGGGTAGTTGGCCCTTCGCAAACTGGCACTTTTCGGGCGACCAGATCTATGCACTTTTAGTCGCCTCTTACGACACGCAGTATCACGGCAGGTGTATTCTTTGCTCCCCCATATTAAAACTACGGGGCCCCCCACCAGCAGGGGAGAATGATTCATGTAGCGGTATTATTTTCTATTTGCACAATAGGCCTAAACAATTCAATTGTCTCTGCTTATGAACACGCCACGCGGGATCGGTTCGCTCAAGAGCCCTCTTGCACCGTATGATTATTCTCCCCCCTTCAACATGAAGCCATTTTGAAATGAAAATCCGCCTATACTATAAGCCGGGGCAATAAATTAGTCTAAATTCCAGCTTTACCAGAAAATTTCGCATGTCAAGAATTAAAGAGGTTTTTAGCTGTTGTTTCTCATCTGAACCGTACAAGAACTGAAAAGAATGGTTAGTAAAAACATCATTACCGATTTTATTTAGGGAGTGGGGGGTGGAGAGTGAACTTTTTTCTTTCCTCAAAGCAGTGAAGTTGCGAGCTCACACGACCCTCTTTCAATCTTCGTGTGGTATCGTCATAATTATGGAATCGAAGAAATCGACGTTTTTCTGCCCTTTGGGCAAGTTAGTCCCCAAAATTTCTCTCTGCATCGTTCATCTTTATTTTTTAAAAACACATTTCTATCTGACTTTTACGGATAAACGTTTATCAAAAGCACTTTTTAAAGGTTAAAAAAATGTAAATTATGTGCAGTTTCCAAGGATTTTCAAGCTTTGGAAATCCCCAAACTGTGGCGCCTGTTTTCTCACTGTTTTTTTTTTTGGTTTTGTTTTGTTTTGTTTGTTGTTGCTGTTGGTTTTTTGTGTTTTGTTTATTGGTTGTTGTTTTTTGGAGAGGGGGGGGGGGACTTTTCCTCTGACACGAGGTGAATCCCCACCTCTTCCAATGGCAGATGACGAAAAGATTAAAAGGTTTTTTTTGTTGTTGTTGTTTTGTTTTGTTTTTTTTGTGTTTTTTGGGGGGGAGGGGGTGCCAAAAGCAAGACAAATTAAAAACCTTTAAGAAGATTTCAATAACTTCATATTTTAAAAAAATTGACGATCGCTTGATTCTACCGCGTCGTGACACTTAATTTGTTTCTGACGGCACGTGGTGTCGGCTTTCAGGCCCATATCGGCATTTCAATAAATCACGTGTAATACTGTCGGAAAAAGCGATGCGATGATATGATTGTTTGTTTATATATATGTATGTATTTTTTTATGTTTCTGTTTTTGTAGGCCTTTATACACATGTATTTGTATTGACACCATGAAATGTTCCGCCAATTAGAGAGCTTAGTTTCAGAAGTATTTTTTTCGGTACTTGCACAAGAATAAGGAAATAAAAGTGCTGAAAATTTGAGGTTTTCCGACAGAGTAACAAACACCAAAAAGAGGGAGGAGAGATAAAGAAGATGATAGTTTGATTGGAAAGAAGAAGCACACCACACCAGAGCACCCGCCAACTATCCAATTATAATTAATAGAGGCATATGTCCTTCTAGAGAGATTTCTCAACAAAACCATTGCTCAAGAATAGGCTAAACAACAGTACAAGTACTTGTAGTTATAATCTCGACTAGAAAGACAATGACAGACCCATGCTTCGGGAGAAGATATGCGAGTATTCGAGTACGTTCTGTCTACACAGCAGGGAAGAGTTGGTTGAGGCAAAAGTAGGTACATATGTACTTAATGTTATGTTCTTTTCTTCCGTTTCACCGGTGGGTGTCGCGGTAGGTGCTAGCCAGAAAAAGGTTGTTACACTATAATATAGTATTTATCATCCTCACTGACGGCTGTGTTGAGCGTGGGATCAAATCAGGCTGGGCGTACACGGCTTCTTGCCAAGGAGTAACAGTCCAGGAGGCATCTGGGGCAACGGGCCTCACTACATCAAGCGTGTGCATGGCGATCAAGGCCATCACTGAGGCTCTGAAATGGCTTCGCACAAATGAAAACCAGCAGGCTACCTTTGTTACAAACTCAGTGAGTACTCTGGATAAGATCCTGTCCGGCAGCCTCTATGCAGATTGGTTTAAGACAATCCAAGACAGCAAAATCAGACGCTTGCTGTCGATCTTCTGTCCAGGACATGCCGGGGTCAAGGGAAATGAAAGAGCAGATAAGCTAGCAGGCTCCCCGAACATAGAGGGAGTGCTTACCCTTGATCCTCCAACTGTAATAGCCCTTGTCCGAGATCACATAGCCAGCAGCCGTGAAGAGGACTCCTTCAGGAAAGAGATTGCGATTGAGAAAGGAATACAGCCTTGTGAACGCAGGAGGAGCAGCCAGCGTGACCCCACCAGAAGCTACAACAACCAACTGATGATGGAGACAATCAGCCTGCCAACACTGATATGGACCCTTATGAAGAGGGGCGAGGAAGCTTAAGATCCCAGTTCTACATTCAAACAAATCAAACAAATACCATCATGACTATATTGCACTATGAAGAATCATGACTATATCACACAATGTAACATCGTGCCCACACCACGTAGAAAAAATTCGCCCTGAAGCCTGCAGCCACCTCCGAAAAGGTATGCGAGTCCAGTATTTTAGACCCGATTCCGAGTCCAAGTAATTATGAAATACTCGAGCGAGTACTCGAGTACTCGAAATCTGAACACAGGTTGGGTGTGTTTTGCTTATGCTTGTACTAATTTTTACAACTTAATTAATAATAGTTATAATAAAAAAAGAGTGAAATAAATATTAGTAATGGTTAAAAGAATAAACGAAAACGATTAGGTTGTTGAGATGTTTTTAAAAAGTGCACAACAGCAAAAAAGGACGAAATGGAAAAAGAAATGAAACACAGCAACACACAAAAAACGACCAGAATGACAAATCTGTTGTTTCTACAGCAAGCTCCAACTATAGTGCGGTAAAAAATTCGTGGTGCAACTTATCCTCAAATATTTCTTTAATGGGCGAATCAATGTCATCCATACTTTGCATAGCAGTTTGTATCAATTTGTCTTAACTTAATCATATTTTTCTAGAACAATTGGGGCTAGATTAAAAATCTTTTTAAATTTTTAAAATATAGAATACTTGAAATCTCTGTCATTTGTAAAATGGTATTGTTCACAGCACTTCCCGCTTCTCACATACATTTTGATTACGCTTATAATGGCCTACGCCACAGCTCATCAAGGACACTTTTTACTTGCAAAACTTGTTACAAGAAATTATTGTTATAGTGAACACATTACTTTTGCCCTAATGGCTCTCAAAACATGCGTTCAATAAGCATAATGTCCTGATTAGAAAAACCTGACGGACTTGCTATTAAAAGCTATATTACCCCAGCTGTAAACGTTTTAAAATCTGTAGAAACAACTCACTTAGATTTTTTATTAGTATTTAAAAAGGAATTTTCTAGAATACAGCTTGCAGGTGTTTACAAAAATGTTGATCTGTTACTTATGTTCAATAGTTGAGGAGATATTTGAAAATAAGTCGCATCACGAATTTTTGATCGCACTATAGGCAAAAAATGTAAATAAATGTACTCGAGTAATTACTCGAGTACCCTTACGTTTCGGACTCGAGAAAATACTCGGGGATTTAAATACTTACTCGAGCGAGTACTTTTAAGGACTAAATTCTCGAGTACTAGCATACACCAAGCCTGCAGTAACAGAGTTTCCCGCTCAGCCCAAACAACATACGTTCCACAAATTACGTACAAAGGACTTGTATTCGATTTATCTAAAAATAAAATATATAATAAAACTTCACTGAACATCAAGCGCTGTGCACTTTATAATCTATAATACTACCACAGGAGACTGTAGAACTAGAACACCCCGAAACATTGTTGGCTTCCTGGGAAGCGTACAGTGCAAACAGCCGATTTAAGCACTTCAAACACTAACAGACAAACTTATTCTCATTCCAGCTGGAGTATCACATGTAGGTCATGTTTCATCTTAGATTGAACTAACGAGTGACCAGTCTGCAACAGTGCGTAGGAACTGAGAGATGTGCTCCTTGATATCCGCCTAAGAGCCCGTGGGATCAGTCCAACTGAGACCACACCTTTATTTCTCCCTGTGACCGGGTTCTTAGACGGAGTCCACTCTGACAATAAATCAGTATTCTGTAAGGACCCCGTTTTCTGAAATCCTTTACAAAAAGCAAGCCATTGACTACTACTACTACTACTACAACTACTACTACTACTACTATTACTACTACATGCACTGCTGCTACTACTACTACTACATGTACTACTACTACTACTACTACTAATACATGTACTGCTGCTGCTACTACTACTACTGCTGCTGCTCTTCCTCCTCCTCCTACTACTAATACTACTCAGTGGCGTCGGTAGCCTAGTGGTTATAGGTACCGGACTCGTAATCCTGAGGTTGCGGGTTCAGGGGTTTGCTGTGTTCTTGGGAAAGGGACTTTATACGAATTTCCCACTTAGCTCCGTCCTTTCGGAGATGGTCGCGTTTAGTAACAGTGTTGATAGAGGTGTTAAACCTATTTCACTATTTTCTACTACATGTATTACTACTCAACACGCAAATTTCTATACTTTTAAAAATACATGTATTTCCACCGTTTTTCATCAAATTAATCTTCACGAAATTTTGACAGTATGAAGAAAAGATGTAACATTAAATTTGTGTCGGCTGAATTTTAAATAATGGAATAGATTTTTGCCTGGAGCGTGGATTTTTGTTGTTGTTGTCTTCCGCACAATAGATCCAATTATTATTCGCTTTAGTCACAGTGTGTGCACTAGTGTCCACTTTTTATAGTCAGTTGTCCGTGTCGATCTTTTTTTTTTTTTTGTGCCTGTGTTTTGTGTCTGTTGAATTCAAAACGTGATACGCCCATCCCTTGAATCACGTCTGGCTGGTGATCATCGTTTAAAAAGTGGGGAACTGCACTGAATAGGAATATCATAAAAATAGAAATCCAATAAATTTTGTTTTGTTTTGATGTGCATTAAATTTTGAATGATATTTGTACAATTGTCACTATTTCACTTCTAAATATTTGTTTTTCCAAAATATTAATTTTGAGATAATTAAACCAATGGTCTTCGCCTTTTCAGCCAATGCCCGATACTGTTATAATTGTCAGAGGAAAACAAAATGGTGCTGGAAAGTACAATTATCTGGTGAGTTGACTCTGATTTGAAGTACATTTCTAGAAAACCAGGGTAATAAATTGATGTTTTGACCCCCAGGTTGTATTCACAATAATATGTTTTCCAACTTTATGGAAAGTATGTGCGATTGGAACCATGTTTGTGGGATAAGTCGAGTATCACAACCCTGTGTCGTAGTGACAAAGCAAACTTCAGGACGTTTCACGACACCAGCCACAGGCCCACAGGACTTTACCACGGTCTTCTACTTCTTGGTGTGGACATGGTGTTGGTTTTCTTCTTTATTTTCATGTCCTGGACTCCCTCACATTTTATATCTGGAATGCTCAATTAATGGGCTGAAATGTAAAAGGCCACCTCTATTCTCACCCGGAGTGAGAATAGTGCAGGCGGGTCTTGTGGCTATTCTCACCCGGTGCGCGTTCGTCATCAGAAGCAATGACCAATGAAGTGATCCCGGTCTCTACCCATCCTGAGGCGAGTCACGAGTGAGGCAGGACAGGAAGGCGGAGTCATGAGTCACAGGAAGTCGGAAGTGATGTCATGCTGGACAAGAATCAGAGTCCAAATAACATTTTTTCATATTTGGACTCGAGTCCAAATAGTCACTTCGTTAGTCGTTCTTCAAACGTCAAATAATTCCAACTAACTATAAAATTTGGTAGAGCCAATTGCCACAGTGAAGCGGTGGCAATTGACAATAATTGACTGCAGCGTCAGTTGCCACAGAGTGAAGCGGTGTCAATCTGAAAACAACACTAGATCTCTAATGGGTCAATTTGTTTTCTACTAGTAATACTAGGGATGTAATTTCATTGGATGAGCATCTAGTCTAGAGCTACGGTACCAACTTGGCGTGTTTTCAATGAGACGTAGGCCTAGATCTAGGCTAGCCTTAGCCTACACTTCTGTGTAGAACCAACACAGACAATTCTAGAAGTAGGAGGTCACAAACGTACACAAACTTGAGCAGAAATTCATTTTATATCGGGGAAAATTAAATCCGGGGGACAGGGGTCTGGAAAAAAAGACACACACTCACACACACACACACACACACACACACACACACACACACACACACACACACACACACACACACACACACACACACACACAGGGACAGAGAGGCGAGCGCACAACACCGAGCACTCAAGCACAGTAGGCTAGATCTACTCACCAACGCAAAAGAGCTCCAATTTACTCGGTGGCAATTGAAGCTGCTGTCCATTTTTGTCAATTGCTGACTCGGTGGCAATTGACGTTGGCAATTGACGTTGTGTCCTTGGGAAAGGCACTTTGCACAAATTTTCCTCACTTCACCCAGGTGGAAATTGGTACCCGGCTATAGACAGTGAAAGATCTTGTCAGTTTGATAGTGTTTGAGCGCGTGAAATCCGCAGCTTGCACTGTATGCTTTCTCGGAAGCTGAGAATGTTTCTGAGTGTTCTCAGAAGGTCTGCTGGGGGTAATAATGGTTATAAAGCGCACAGAGCATGCTCTTGAGCATGGATATGCGCTATATAAATGCAATTATTATATTATTATTAGATCTGTCTCTCGCTCGTAGCTCATCAAACATAATATATGATCTTAATCTAGGCCCGAATAAGGGGGCTGGGAACTCCTGAAAAAGCGCCAAATTGTGACTACTCGTCAGTGCCAGGGGTCGCTGCTCGGGAGTAGTAGGCTAGATTCTAGGCCTAGACCTATGCTTTCTTTTTTTTTTTTACTGCTTCAGTTTTTGTAGTGCAGATCTATGACTGAGGCAACTTTGGCAATTTATTGTAGTGTAGAGGAGAGATACTGGGAGTTGAAGGGAAAGGAAGAAATTTGAATACATGAACGCTCGGGAAAATAAACTTGAGCTCTATTTCTCTGAATGGTTTCCATTTTCGAGATTTTTTGGTTAACATCATGTGAGAGTTCGGCGTCATCTTTCATCCTGTTGTTCTGCGTGGACTGCGAGGAAGCATTTTTTGCATCGAATTCAGTTTCTAGAGCTACAGATTTTTAGATGTCTGAATGTTCAGATACTTTAATTCTGGTAACATTCCCTGACTATATTTCATTTGAAAATGCCTTCAAGAGGTATGCGAGAAAACAAGACTGCTCGACTTTGGCAGTAGAAATTTAACCTTTTTGTATAGTCACCCCTAAAGCAATAAATCACACCAAAAAAACTAAACACCCACACCCCCTTCCCCCACCCCTTCCCCCCTTCCTTCTTTCCTTCCCTCCTCCTACACCTCCACTCCTCCTACACCTCCACTCCCCAATCACTCCAGCCTCTTTCACTATCACCATAAATATCGACCCTCTCTTACAAGAGCCT